TTTTTCAAAATTTTAATATCATAGTGCATGAACCAGTTTTTACTACATTTTAGAAAATTTTATCTAATATTAGCGTATACAAATTAATTTGTCCGAGTACAAAATTCAGAGTTATTTGAGAAAAACTAAAAAAATGCAATTTATGGAATATCAATTACATAATTCAAGTAGGCACTTCAGTTACAAATTATTCAAAACTTCAATATCGAAGTGTATAAAAAAGCTCTCATTAGATTTTAGTAAATTTTATCTAGTTTCGGCTAATGCAAACGAAATATAATGCCCGCAATAGAAATTTAAATTTTAAAAGAAATTTACTAAATCGATATACTGTTAAATATCAAAATGCTAAAATACTAAAATAAACTTGAAAGAAAATTTTAAGTGCCAATTTTTATTTCAAAGCACTTCTAATTTTTTTTTATCGTCATTTTGGTCATTTAGATCAAATCCTTTATCAGATAAATTTAAACTACATATATAATTTCATTTTTATTAAGTCAATTTTCTTGATTAAAGTATTATTTATAGTAAAATTGTCCGGAAAATAGTCGTAATGAGTAGGTTTAATTCTATTATTATTGAAATGAAATGAAATCGTATCGATGAAATTATAATATGATGATGAATTCGGGGTCGTTATGACCTCAAAAGGGTATAATTTGTGGTGTAATTTCGGTTTTATTGCCGATTCTCGAATATATTAAATATATTTAATGACATGGACGAGAGAAATGTTTTCGTCGGCGAAGAAAAATATACCACGGGGGGATATTTATAAAATTATATATAAATATAAATAAATAAATATATAATATATATATATATATATATATATCTTGATAGTTTGTGTTTCTCGCTTCACAATTATGCATTTCATAACTTTTAGTCAAATTAGTTTTCAAATCCTTTAGTTATACATAATTTTTTCTAAAAAAATGTTTTTCTCTAATATGTTATTAAGTTTAATTTTTTAAAAATAAATTTTTGTTGAGTGTTTTTGTCCTGTGGTGTGTATAATGTTTCTCTATGCTATAATAATCTATATTGTTGTTCATATTAGTTAATAAAATTTTCAAATTGTTGTAGTTGCTGAATGATGACACGCATCTTGTGTCGAAACGCATAAATAAAAGTTTTTATACTTTATACCTTTTTTATTTCGAAGAATGGGCTGCTAGTTACTTTGAAATATATATATATATATATATATATATATATATATATATATATATATATATATATACATATATATATAAATTGAGTCCTACATTATTTACTCAAACTGCAAATATGACAACACTTGACTGTACCAATGTATTTCCTATAATTTGTAAATTTATCGATGTCTTTAAATATGTTTTTAGTGTAAAAGTTTTCCTATATATTATTCCTGGAACGCATTCCAATAATAATATATTTATTATTCATGTGTGTTTTCTTAGAGAGAGAATGTATTTATATTGACGACGACTTCGACGACGATGTGTAATCGAAGGCTGAATCGATTTCAGAAAAATTAAAATAATTATAGACACTAAACTATTTATACACAAACACACACACACACACATATATATATACATTAGGGTGGTCCTTAATATGGTCATTTTCAAATTTCCTTGCTCCCAGGGGCTCAAATGGTTCCCAATTGATAAAAAAAACAACTCTCTGCAAGTTTTAGCTCCTAATATTAACTTTAAGATATTCCGCAATTCAACCAAAGTGTTTTATAGGAATAAAATGAGTAAAATTCCATTTGTTTTTATAGAATTTTGTAACTGAGCGACAAGTGAATCAAAATTTTGAAAACACCATTGTATTTGCTTATTTTGATCATAAATAAAAAGCACAATAAAAATTTGATATCTACATATATATAAAAGTAAGTCGGGTTTTCCTTCCTGACGAAATAACTCCAGAAATTCGTTGGAAAGGTCTCGGGCTCCGCAAGGTTAATAGCCAAGAAAATTAGTGGTGCATGGCATCGTGCCTTAATGCAATTTGCAGGAACTTCACGCATCGAAATTAAAAATTCGAGTAACAACATTAGTGAGAATTATCAGAATTATGCTTGGTTAAGTCAACGAGCAATTCTTGCCGCAAACAATAATGATGTACACGCACTGAATTTTACCATTCAATCAAAAATTGCTGGCGATTTGGTGACATACCAATGATTCCGACTGGTCATCCGTTTGACTTTAAACGATTGCAATATCCAGTTCGCCTTGCGTTCGCAATAGCAAGTCGCAAGACCAATCGCTTAGTGTTTGCGGGATAAATTTCAAATAGATTATTTAAAATAATCATTGTTTTTCACATGGGCAGTTATACGTTGCCTGTTCACGAATTGGAAAACCATCCGCTTTGTTTGTGTTAACGTCAGACCAAAAAACAAAAAATGTGGTTTACCAAAGAGCACTTCAATGAAACGGATAATTTGCGGATTCACTTTCATTTACTTAGAGAAGTTCAACTAAAAAACACTTCATTTTTGTAATCGAAATAAATTCATTACTGTTGTGTAAAAAAATTAAATTTTTCTTTTTCAAATATAAAACAAACAAAAAAATTGTTCGTCTTTCTCACGAAACCATCTGGTGGCGAAACGGAGTTCGTCGGGTATGCTAGTATCTTATAAAATATGAAATCTTAAGATTTTTAAGTTATTTTGAACTTGAAATTTTAAGATAAGAGAAAATTCAAGAAAAAAAAATGAATTATTCAACTTTTTTGTTCAACAAAATGAGATTAAGATACTAGAATACAATAAATTAGGATACTTTTTTCTAAAATGACGCGCAGTTGAATCATTTACCTGCCAATAAAAGTCTCGTCAACATCGGTCCAGCGGTTTGGGAGAACTTTGGGATAACTTGACCCATATTATATTGGACCAATTAAGAACTGCTGTGTCTTCTATTATTCCAACAAAGACTGCTGAGCCTTCTATTATTATTTCGATTATCTAAATAAAATTCTATTAAAACACCGACATCTGCTGAACTTGATATTAATACACCAACTACTGATAGGCCTTCTATAGATTCAACAAATATTGCTAGATTTCTATTCATCCATCAATGACTGCTGGGCTTCATATTAATTCACCAAACGACTGATGGACTTATTGATTCAGCAAAGACTGCCAGGCCTTATGTTGATCTAGCAAGGATTGCTAATATAAATTATAAAAGAATCATATAATTCGACAGGGGATTACAATATATAACAAAATATATATAATATACAATATATACCAAAAAACACTTAAAATTTTATTTTGAGACTTTTATTGGTATAGTGAGTTTATTTAATTCTTTAATTTAATTATTTTGTGAAATAAATACAATATTTTGATAGTGATCTTCGCAACTTACTTGTTTTTATTTCTGAAAGATCTAATATTTAGTTATTGTGTTTGAAAAGCTTCTTAGTTCCGCCTTCTACAAAATGTATGTGACGATTTAATGATATAATGATATGTTGCATGATATATATAATTTAAAATCTGTTTTAAAAATTGTCTTCTCTCAATTTACTACTCCAATTTTTACTCGCACATCGCATATGGAATCGAATTTTGGGAGTTCTCGTCATCTCTTAACTGCATTTTCAAACTTCAAAACAGAGCTTTGAGAACAATTTTTTCTATTAGTTCTTTATCTTCTTGTAAAAACATTTTTCGTCAACATAGTATCCTTACCATTCCCAGTATATTGTTGCTCATTACTGTATCGTTTATAAAAAATAATCCCAAACGTTTCAATTTATCTTCAATGTCGAATTCTCATTACAAGACAAGAAACTTAACAATTAAAGTACCAGTATTTAAACTTGCAACGTCTTTTAACTCAATTGATGGATTTGGAAATCAACTTTTTAACTTACTACCACTTCACATACGAAAATTAAATAATCATAAATTCCATAATATTATAGTAAAATTTTTAAAATCTCAATATTTCTATGATATTTCAGAAATTGTTAATTTTGATATTAAACAATATTTTGCTAACCAATTATAATATAGCAATCACCTGCCTCTCATTCATGTCATCTTTTCCCTAAATTTTATTATTTAATAAATTTTACTAACCCTTTCTATAAAAAATATCTTTTATTCAAATTCATTTATTAGTATATTTCTTTTTTTTGAACTGCGCTTCTTCCTTTTTGCAGATCTACATTAGAATAACATTGACGCACTGGATTGATTCAAGTCTATTTTCTATCAGCAACTGCCGACTATGTATTTATTATTCTTGATCTTCTAACGATGCCCAAATCAGAGATATTAAATTGTGCATCTTATTCTAAAACATGCATTCATTATCTAAAATGTTTCAGTTGGTCTCAACTGAATATATCTAATTTTTCTTTTCATTCCAGACATGGGATGAACTCGGACCGCGTCACCTGCGGTTTGATGATCTCCATTGTATATATATATATATATATATATATATTATATATATATATATATATATATATATATATTTGTTTGTTCATATTTTAGCTTATGTACGCGTTAAATGATTTCGATTATTTAAATAAAATTACTATTACAACGGGTCTGCCAGTCAAGGCAGCATAATGTAATTATTTTCCATTAAACCAGAAAAATTGTACTTTCAAATAAAAAAAGAAATTTGAGCATATTTTCAGCAGTTTTTTATAGCATTTCCAGAAAAAATGCATCTGGCAGGCACACCCTGTGATATTTTTCAAAAATTTCAAAACCTTTCGTTTTGAGCTGAGTTAGATTCATAAAGAGTAAGTAAAAACAGCTAAAATTCCACCAGCAAATTTACGAGGTTTTATGTTGGAGAAAATCGGAAGAATAAGCAAAAATCATGGACAATTGTCCAGGACTGAATGGAAAACAGCTATTGGACTTTTATAACTCTATTAATATTACTTATATATTATAAATATTTAAAAATATTTACTAATTATTATATGATTTTTTTACAAACTAATCTATTGTAAAATTCTCACAAATACAATTCAAAATCGATCCTATTCGATGTATGAAACTCTCCCTCGCTACCAACTTTTCTGACCCAGACACCCGTCTTGAAATACCCGTTACTGACCCACTCCTGCATTTGCTCGGTGGAATGGGGCCCATGAACCTGGTCGGCGTCCGAGGTGCCCCACTTGAATTCCCACATGAGTCCTTTACCATCGTCGATGGGATTTGCCTCCTCCTCCACATTCGACGACATTTTAGCCTTTTCCTTCTCGTCGAAGTCGTCGGCGTACATGTCGAGCTCGGTGGATGCAGTTGGCCTCTTGTTCTGCTCCTTGCCGATTTGCTGCTGAATTTGCTCGTACGTTTGCTGATAAATGTCCATGTCGCCCATTTTGGTGAGGACCTCGTTGGCCAGCGATGTCAGATTTGTGACCAGTTCAGCATTCGGATCCACAATGCCCAGTTTTTTGTTTTTCCATCGTTGGGCTGACGATATTTTTGAAGATTTACCTAAAAATGTAATAAGTTAGGAACAAAACGCATAGTAGAAATAAACTACTGGTGTATGGCATCGTGCCTTAAGGCAAATTGCTGGAACTTCCCGTACCGTAATGAAATATTCGAGAAACGTTTACAAATATATTATTGCAAATACTACACAACTTTCATTATTTTTGCTATCTTGTTATATCTGAGCAAATCAAATGTAAATCATAAATCAATTCAGTTCAATCTCCATAACATTAACAATTTCAAAAAAAAAAAATAGCTGCCTAATTTGCACAAAATTGTAAAAGTGCTCCTGTATAGTCACAGTCTATTGGGCATTTGCAAATAATTCTGTGCGGCATTTTCTCTTATACTGTGCTTAGCTTGGCGGCATTTTCACATATTTCAATAGTTTTCACAAAATTGGAAAGTGCTCCATTACATAAACTGTCTAAACGCACTTGGGTAAACATTTGCACCAGAGTGGCGCTTAGACTGTGCTTAGCCTGAGTAACTTTTTAAATTTTTAATCCAAAATTACAAAAATATTTCTTGGAAATAAAAAAAAAGTAATATTTTTTTATTCTCTAAAGCAATTATTTTGTCAATACAAGCAGAAAGTTTTTTAGATCATTCAAATCGAACTCTTAGTTCACTCAACTCAAAAACTGCCATTTTTTGCACATTTAGCTCTGTTTCTTCAAAATAGCGGGACCTGTCATTGCCAAAAACTAATCACCTCTTCTCCCAATCATTACAAATTGAATGTTTTTTAAATCATTGAAATCCGATACTCCGTTCTCTCAAAAACTCGATTTCTATTTTCTACTCTCTTTGCTCTTTATCTCCGTAACTGCTGGACCTGCCTTTGCCAAAAACTAATCAGCACATCTCCCTATCAATAGGAAATGAATGTTTTTGAACCATTCAAATCGGTTGATCGGTGCACCCGAAAGCGTGGGCACACACACATCCATTTAATTTCTGGGGTATGTCTTAAAAATGTTCAGAAACCTTCAAAACGTCGAGAAATGCAAAAATTCTTATTTTCGATTTTCGGTCCATTACTATAACTACCCTACGGGTTAATAATGTAAATAAGTTCTCTAAAAACCTTTTAAATTACCTAAAAATATTGTAAATTAACAAAAAATATTACAAAAATAATGTAAAATTTAAGAAAAAAATCGGGGAAAAATTTGCGAAAAAAAAAATGAGAACTAGTTAGTATTAGTATTTTGCCTTGAGACAAGTTACATGAACATCCCAAAGTGTGTAAATAATCGACTTAATCAATTAAAAATAAATTCATTTATAAGTCATTAAAGGTATTCCGAGTGGATTTAATACACATAATTGAAAACAAACAAACACGTTAACTCTAAGAGCAAATTTTCAAAAATCAACACTTTTTATAATTGAACCAGTTTCCGTAGGACTTAATGGTTTACTATGTTCAAGACTAAGTACACTATCGTTATACCAACTAAATCATCTAATTTCATTTTTTAAACGTAAAAAAAAACTACTCATTTCTCAAACTTTGAGGAATTTTTAAAATTAAACTACTTGTCATAAGACCGTTCATATCAGTTATCTAAAACTGATATAAATCATCTAAAAATTTTATATATTGTCTAAAAGTGTTGTAAATCATTAAAAATTTAAATTGATGAATTCCAGCATCTTTTTATAAGATTCAATCAAATCGAAGGAAGAATTAGGTTCATCGTCATCATCGCTCTCCTCTTTTATTTTTGCTTTACCATCTGTCGTTTCTTTAATCTAAATGATAGATTATTATTGATGAAAAAATACATATTTCTAAGATGCAAGTTTTTATATTAGATGTATGAATTAAATAAGAAAAAAATATTAATGTATACAATATTAAAAAAGTAAAAATATTAATAAGTAATTTATTATTTCTTAGAAAAATGTGAAAGTAGTATGTGATAGTTTAACTTGTAAGAGTAAAGTTTAAATAATTATCAAAAAAAATATTTCTATTAATTCTAGAATGTTGCAAATTTATTATATTGTAGTTAAATGTGTTCTTTATGATAACAAATACTAAAACTGATGTACTTTCTCACAAAACTTTGAAAAAATTATAATTATAAAAGAAGGTATATTTGTGAACTAATTTTTGATTATTAATTTCTAAACTATGTCAGATATTTTGGTTACTTTTTTTATATTTCAACCGATTTTTTAAAAAAATTGTTCAAATGTGTATATATTATTACACACCATTAAAAAGTAGATAAAATTATCTATAAATCTGTATGTATTAATCTGTATGTAGTAATTTAAGTGGTTTGGAACAAAATTGTATTGAAAAAAATGTTAAATCTTGGAATTGAATACTAAGCCACTTGTTTAAACTAACAAGTCAAATTTCCTGGTGCATTTTTTCATATTGCAATCAATTTTTTTTTAAATTTGATAAAAGCATCTATAAATCTGTGTATAACAATTTAGATCGTTTGGAACAATTTTCTTAAAAATAATCTTTATGCAAGTTTGTATATAGTTCTAGAGTGTATAATTATTATAAAATATATAATTTACCTTAACCCAATCAATATTATCGAGCCAGTGATCTTTAAGATCTGCGTCGGCATCTTTTTTCCAATGGTAGTGTCCTTGGTTATCGAAATGGCCCTCTTGAAGTTCTTCTTTCATATTGAAAGGCGTAATTTGAACCTACAAAAGAAGTAAATTAGTTATTTGGAACTATATTTATTTTACTAAACTTATAATAAAAATATCTATTGTGCCATTTATGTGTATACCGAATTGTTGTAGAACACATTAAAAACAAAGTACTAAATAATTCAATATTGTACAAATTAACAGAATATGCAATTCAGTTCCCATTCCCAACTTAAGGCTCTAAATATAACAAATAAATGCACCTTTAATTGACTTCCCACAATAGTACGGTTAGGGTAAAATTTATCGCATCTGTATGCTTCACAATTAAATTATTATAACTATGATTTATTACTACAATTACCTCTCCTTCTTTAAATATTTCACAATCCTCCTCGCCTTCAATCTCATGATTGTCCATATGATCAAAATCATCTTCACTGTCATCTTCATCAGAATCCAACGAGTGTTTATTCTCATTCAATATAACTTGTTGCTTCTTATTACTAAAATTCTGCAAGAGCTCCCCATCTTCTATCATCACATCATTTAGTTTACGTTTTGTAGACATTTTAAAGAAACTAGAACGAAATTTGTGTGAAATAAGGTTAGGATATAAAATGTATAAACATTGATATAAGTTGTAATAGAATAAAAGTGTAAATACCTTTATTTGATTGTTTGTGAGTAATATTTGTTGTATATGTTTGGTGTATAAAACTATACTGTATAAAAATATATTTTATTTAATTTAATAAGCACAAACACGCTCCGACACTTTGTTTGACGTTTTTGTGTTAATGGCGCAATTAGTGTTGCCAGGTGATAACATACCAAATGTTTAATTTTAATTTATTTTTATGCTATATGTATATTATAATTAATGTTGCACCTGATTAATTAACAGAATACTTAATAATTACATTATTTATTATGAAATAATGTAAAAGTGAATCGGCGTTTAATTTTTTGCAATTTCACTAAGCTCAAAATGGCGCCAAATTTAAATACCAAATTTAGTTATAATTTTAATACTTTGTTATTCATTTTTGCTTTGCGACGGAGTTATAAAACTCTTGAAGCATGTTTAACTTATAAACCTAAATTAATCAAATACAATTCACACTTTGTAAAATCACCATACAAAGTTCTCACCATTTGTATGGTGAGTTTCTTTACAATTGTTTATTTTATGGTTGTTTTTCATATATACTTTTCATATACATTGGTTTTACTTATTTTTGTTTGTAATTATGTATTTTTAACTTCCCGTAGGGCAAGTTATAGTAATCGCAAAAAAATCGAAAATGAAAATTTTTATATATCTTTACGTTTCAGAGGTTTCTGAACATTTTTGGCATACCTTAGAAAAAATGGATGTATGTGTGTGTGTGTGTGTGTGTGTGTGTGTATGTATGTATGTATGTGCGTGTGTGTATGTATGTGCGGATACAAATTTTCGTCGACGATTTCGGGAACACGGATCAACCGATTTGAATAATTCAAAAAACATTCGATTCGTATTAATAAGGAGACGTGCTGATTAGTTTTTGGCGAAAGCAGGTCTAGCCGTTCCAAAGATACGGGGCAAAAAGTGCCGAAAACGGTAACTCAGTTTTTAAGAGAACGGAGCGTCCGATTTGAATAATTCAAAAAACATTTTACTTGTATTGACAAGATAAATAATTGATCAAATTTTCATGAAGGCAGGTCTAACGGTTTCGGAGATCTGATGAAAAAAGTAAAAAAAAATACCATTTGGCGGTCAAAAATGATCATTAGACATATGCACATCAAATTATCAGATATTTTTTATAGAGATTTTAACAATAAGTATACATTTTGTTAACATTCCTATGGGTTCTGTACCAATGTTTACGCGTTAGACGGCGACGCGGCGCTTACGCGCTTTGATATTTCGTCTTTATGCAGTTAAAGCAGTACGATTGCTTTGAAAAAAAGTTTAGATCTTCCAAAATATGTCAAAATAAAATAAAACATTTTTTTTTTAAAAAAAAAAATATTTTAAAAAAAAAATTTTTTTTTTCAAAAAAAGTAATTTTTTGTCCAATATATAGTTTCTCAAAAATCTTATTTTTTCGAAATAAATTTTTTTCAAAAATCTTAATCGTTTTTAAAAAAAAAAATTTTAGTACGGGAAGTTCCAGCAATTTGCCTTAAGGCACGATGCCTCAATTGCCTTAAGACAGAATTCCACTTACAGCTAGTTTATATTGTTTTAATCTGTAACCCTGAATTATTTAATTGTAGCACTGAAGATGGGTCAAATCAAGACCCGAAAAATATGTTCTCTAAATAAAAACATTTTTCAATAAAACTGTTTTTTAATTACTGGATGGATGCCCAAGAAACAATTTTATCATATATATATATATATGAGTGAGTTCTTGAGGGCGATACATCAAACAAAGAATTGTTTTTAATTGTGTTAATTTCTTTGTTTGATGTATCGCCCTCAAGAACTCACTCACATATTTCAACATCAAAATTAACTACTAAATCATATATATATATATATATATATATATATATATATATATATATATATATATATGTATAATTATCATTGAAAAGCAGATATAACTGTCTATAAATCGGTATTTATAATAATAATAATAAAATTAATATTATTGATTTAAATAATGATTTAAACAATCAAAATAATGATTTCATTAATATTATTATTTATATCTGTAAAATAACATTAAAAAATAGTTTTTCATTTGCTCAAATACATTTAATAATAAATTAATACATATACAAGTTTGTACAAAATGGCAATAACGAGTATTTAAATAAAATTTAAAACCATGCAACATTTACATCAAGCCCAATTTAATTTAGCTCGATAAAACATTCAGAAGCCCGTAGAAGTCCCTTCTTCTCAGACTTAAATACGAATAATAAACTTTCAACTTAAACAACAACCATTGTCTCGATATAAAAACCTGCAATTTTCTATACTTTGTCGAAGCCTTGTCAAATTCTTCTTTATGCACAGCATTGATACAACATTTAGACATCGTCATAAATGATAACATGTTGGATCCTGTTTGTAATGTGTATTCGATACCTCTGAGTAAGTCGTTGGTTTTAAAAATCAGCAACATTTGTCTGTTGACTTTTTGTAGTACATCAGAAATTTGTGGAAGTACATTTGGTAATTGTTTTTGAAACTGATCCTTCTCCTTTTGCGAATGTGAGACTTTATCTATACCTGATAAAACAGATTCCCAAGGTCTGCCGGTTATCATGCAAGCAAACAAACCGTACAGATTACCCACGATGCCTAAATTAATACTGTGATGCCTCATTGCAGTACGATCCACTTTCAAAATGCTCAACCAGAGTTGGGAGTACTCGTATCTGAAGTCATTCGATAACTCAGCATACAAACCATGGTCTAACAAAACCAGGTTGACGTGCTTGCCATGTTTTTGAACCAAGATGTTACCGGGGTGTGGATCACTGTGGACGAAACCATTAATAAAAATCATTTCAGAATATAAACGACCCAGTTTGTTTGTGATTTCCAAAGGATTCATTTTGTTTTGCTGGATGTACTCTAAATCATTTACTTGACCGCCTTCTACAAAGTCCATTGTCAGCACTCGGGGTGTCGTTAAGTCCCAATGTATTTTAGGTATCTTCAACCAAGTTTTGTCTTTAAACATTTCACTGATTTTTTCAGCATTTTTGCCTTCGGCATTAAAATCAAGTTCTTTAGGGATGTTTTTTTTGGTTTCATCGACAAGCCATTGGAATTTAAAATCAGGGAATACCAATGAGACTATTTTAACAAGCAGTTCCATAGTTTTCATATCGACTAGAGAGTTTCCACGGACGTATCTGTGTTGGACCTTAACAGCAACTGTAGTGCCATCGTGTAAAGTTGCTTTGTGGACTTGTGCCAACGATGCTGTGCCCAAGGGTTCTTCATCAAAACTAGAAAAGATTTCACTGGGGTCTTTTTTAAACTCTTCTTTCAACACTTTGTATACATCGGTTATAGAATGTTTGGGGGCATGACTGTGCAGGACTTTCATCGTATTGACATACTCTTTGGGTAACAGGTAGTCGAGGGCTCCTATGTGTTGCCCGACTTTAATATACACACCTTTGTTTAAACAACAAAGTTGTAGCAATTTATCTGCACCCATTTGGTGCACCTGGCTCTTCAGATCCTTGTACTCTTGTGACTCCTTATCTAGACCATGGTTTTTCAATCTGGACTTGTACATAAGCCCTATGGAAAAGACTGTACTTGTGGCACGACCTAACCTAACAATACCGACTGAATCCAAATCGCCATCGTTTGCTCTAAAACTTGCAGCTGTAAAAATGGCACTACCACCAATGACACCAAAACCGAGGAGCCTCCTAACAGACCACATAATTATACAAAAATATAACTTTTACTACAGTCACTACTATTTTTGTCACATAATTGCACAATAATAATTATCTAGCTTTTATTTTTATTTGTTACTACTACGTTTCCTCACCAACATCTTTTTCACGTTTTTCGTTAATTCTAACTACAAAACTAACAAATAAATAATTGTAAATAGAAATGTGTCGTCTGCTGTCAACTTGACATCATTATGAACGACGTTTTTTTAAAAGAAGTGAAACGTCAAAAAGTGGGCCACGTGTACACAGTAGTACGAGAGGCAACGACACAAATGGAATGAACAAAAAGTAGAAAACCTTTGATACTTTTTTATTTTTATAGATAATAAATTTTTTATATTGTAAAATTTGTACAACAAAACAGTAGAATTTACTTATTTATTTAATTTTTTTTGCTGACAATAATTATGTTCTTTTAATCCTTTATTAACATTCCTTTCAGTTTGGACTACTTTTTTTATATAATATTGAAATTTTTGTATTATAATTTACTATGATTACATTTTTATATTAGAGAATGCAAATGATTCATTTATTGATTTTTCGTGTTTTATTTACTGCTCTAAATAATAAATATAAATATTCAAACACATAGTAGTAAACAATTGAATTGAAAAATATTTTACATATTTAATTATAAAATTATAAAATTAAAAAATCGGAAATAACATAATAAAATAATAAATATAAATACAAAAGTGATCAATATGTAACTAATTTTTCATTTATTTGTTTCTTGGATTATTCATTTATTTATTTATTTGTGAGTTTATTTACAAATCAAAGTTTAATCAGGTCGCACAATTGACTAATATTTATCTATTTAGCAAAATTTTAAATAAATTTGCTTATTTATAAACTAATTAAATTTTCAATAATTGACTTCTTTATTTATTTTTTATTTGTTTAATTACTAACTCTATTCAATTAACTACTTATTAATTCATACATATATCATTTTAATCTTGCATTATTAAATTTATTAAATTTAACTGGTGAACGGTATTTACTGCTTTACTTTTGGTTTTTAATTATTTTTTATTTATTTATTCTCTACGTGTTGATTTGTTTTTGCATATTTATTTATTCATTATTTCATTCATTTTTATTTATTTATATAAAAAATAAATAATAAATCATATATATGTTTTATCTAGTGTCCTTGTCTCCCGTCCCAACATTAAATCACAGCCTTGGTTATGATTTCACTTTTTGAATTGAAATTTCTTTGGAATTTCTTATATCAGACGATAAAAAAACCCACATTGAAGAAAAAAAGTTGCAATTATATAATTCAGCAATCTTACATTCGATTATTCATACAATGTATCAATCTATTGTATGAAATCATACAAAGGCAAGAATATCGAATTAAAAATTCATATTTTGAGTAAAACACTTTAGTTAGTTGTATGATATAAATATATCAGTATGTATTTTTTATGTAAATTGCTTTACATTTGTTTAAATATGCTTGTCCTATTTTTTTTTTTTGTATATATTATAAATTATAAACCATCGCAGATAATATATGAATATAAATTTAAATATTTATTTTATATTAAAAATGTTATAGTTAATATTAGATTTTTGTTGAAACATATTTTCGAAATGTGCATTTGCATTCCCAAATATTTGAAACAAAGAGCAATAATTTACCTAACAATTTATTATGTACGATTCGACACTGTATGTGTGTCATCATTCAGCACGTTAAACAAGTTCTAAGAAAGGTTTCATAAAATATAAAAACAAATACAAGATTACTAGAAGATATAACAAATAAAAACCAGGAAAAAACGCATTTAAATATATTCTTTTATGAAAAAAACTAGCCAATTTTCTAAAATAGCAAACTAAAAGTTAAATAATAAAATTATGAAGTAAACCATAGCCAAGCAAAACCAACCAAATAAAGGGGTTCACAAATGTAATTTCAAGATCGAATTCTTAGAAATGCTAGCCGGTTAGAAAAGTGTTAAATAAAAATGGCAAAAAACAAACAAAAATGAAATGGACGCCCCCTTGTAAACGTGAGGCTCTTAGGGCGGTTTGACCAAAAATTACAAAATATCTATAGGGATAAAGAGGGGCCTAGTAAGATATCACGCGTGCTTATTTTTTACATAAATATTTTAATTTTTTTAAAAAAATATCATGATTTTTTCTCTTGATGTTTGTTGGGGGAGGAGGAGTTAATTTTAAATATTACCACGTATCACCAAAAGAAAGGGGGGATTAATCGACGCCCCTCAACCAGATATTGAGATTTTTTTTAAATAATTGATTATAATATCGCAGATACAGTGTCAAAACGTACATAATAAATAGCTAATTACTTATTGCCCTATATATATACACAAACATATACATTGATGAAATAACAATTTTTCTAATTCACCTTTTCAAATATCCCGCCCATCATCCAATGAGTCTATTACTCTGGCAACACTATTCATCTGTCCGCCATCTTTCAATTCGCGAATCTGTCACTTCAGTATTTGTTTACTGAAAAATGTCGAACGTTTCGCACGTATCGCACAAATAATAAATAAATAGACAGAAATCTAAGTTTTTAGTGCGTTTGCGTAATTAATTCAATATAATAATGACATGTCAAGAAAACATGGACGTGTGTCGTGTTTGTCTTAAAAACAGCGAGAAATTCACGAATATATTTCGAACGAAAATAAACTCAGTTCTTGTTGCCGAAATTGTGTCGATTTGTTCGTCTTCATATGTAAGTAGAAAAAGATAAGGAATAAGGGATAATGGATTTATGAATACTGTATACACTCGTGTATATATGTGGTATATTTTAGTATAATACATTTTGTAATTGTCCTTTCCACTTTTATTAAGGCAAATATAAAACATGAAAAATTATCAGCTTACAATCAATATCCAAAACTTGGACACCGAAAACTACCCTGCTTCCTTAGTTAAACTTTTTACAGTATTTGCCTTTTATATTGCTAAATTTACCCGATTTAATTCTAGCAACTATTTTCTAACCAAATTTATATCTTGAGTACTTATTTTTCATTCGACGGATTGGATAAAATTACATTAATATGTTTGAACAAGAGCCTAATAATAACATTCATTATTATTGCTGCTTATGTTATGAATAAATAACATAAACAAATAATATTGATAAGCAATTCTCACAAGTAGATCTCATGTTACATTTCATATGCATTTTGCAAAATAAGTGAGTCATATTTCAGATAAATAAACAAGTGAGTGCACTCAATTGTTTATTAAATATTCTTGAACTCCATTTCCTTTCATATCAATATTTAAATTATATGAGCTCTGATTTAATCACAATTGTTTAAAATAAATTATTATTAGTTGTAAGTAGCACTTTGTCAGAAAACCAGTTATATAAATAAAGATTTATAAAATCTTTAGATCAATATGATTTCCAATTAAGTTTCAAGTTGTCCTGGCATAGCCTAAGAAGGCCTAAGTTGATCTAAGTAGCAATAAGAAGACAAAAAAGCAACGAGTTGTCCTAAGATGCTTTACGATATCCTATAATGTTAGGACATGTGTCAAATTATTCTAAGGTGTCCTAAGATCTTCAAAGTTGTTCTATATGGTTTTATGATGTTCTAAGAAGGACTAAGTAAAACCATAATAACCTGAAAATGTATCAGAATATCCAAAGTTGTTCCGAGATGTCCCATGAAGGCCTAAGTTGTCTACAGGTGTCTTAAGAAGTCCATAAATGTCCTTAGATGCTCCAAGATGTTCTATAATGTTAGGACACTACTCTAATTTGTCCTGACATGACCTAAATTATCCTAAGAGACCTAAGTTGTTCTGAAATGTCCTATGAAGGCCAAAGTTGTCTACTCTAATATACCTCATAATGTCCTAAGTAGTTCAAAGTTCTTCTTAGTTGTTCTAAGATGTTTTAAGAAGGCCTGAGTTATCTCGAGATGTCATAAAATGTTGTAAGTATCCTACCCTGCCATGAGATATCTAAAGTTGCCTTAAAATAATCCACAATAGCTTAATATTCGAAGCATACCTATCTTCTGAGTCAACGAACAAAAAATTAGGACCAAATCTAATAAGTTCAATTTTTAATAACACTGCCTTCTCACCTAAATCTATATCCTTTTCCAAATTTTTATCTGCTTCTTCTCTTTGTTTTCCGTCTACTAATACTAACATTAAAGTGGCAGAAACTTATGCATTAAAATTGCACCGAGCAATGGACATAATTACAGTTTTAGATGGCTCAGATAACCAAAAGTTATCTTCATTTATTAATTTCCTAACTTATGTTTTTGAGAGTACTGATCCGAAGGATCACATGGCTCTCATAAAATATATTTTATTCACAAAATTAGAGGGGAAAGCTCTTCAAGCTACCCAATACAAATCTATAAGTTCACTTAGTTGTCCTTAGATGCTCCAAGATCTTCCATAATGTTAGGACATTGTTTTAAGTTGTCTTAAAGTTGTTATAAGATTTCCTAAGATGCCTAATTTGTCCTGAAATGTTCTAAATTGCCCAAAATGTACTAAGATGTCCTGGAAAGATATAAGTTGTTCTAGATGTCCTGATATCTCCTGAATCTAATGATGGTGCAAGAAATTCTAATATGTTCTAAGATGCTCCTAAATTGCTCTGAAATGTTCCAAGTTGTCCTAAGATGATACACAAGTTCTGTCTCAAGTTATCCTGATATCTTCTGAAATATTCTAACAATAAGATGGTCTCAGAAATTCTAATTAGTTCTAAGATGCTCTACGAAGTTCTAATTTTTCATGTGATGCCCCATATCATCCTAAGTTGTCTCCAATTGTTCTGGCATTTCCTGAAATATTTTAAGATGTTCTGGTATGTCCCAAGCTGTGCTGAATTTTCCTGATATCTTCTGAACTATTCGAAGTGATCCTAAAATGTTCCAAGTTGTCCTAAGATAGAACAAGTTCTGTCTCAAATTATCCTGATACCTTTTGAAATATTCTAACAATAAGATAGTCAAAGAAATTTTAATATGTTCTAAGATGCTCTAAAAAGTCCTATAAGAAGCTCCATAACACCTTCAGTTGTCACCAATTGTTCTGCGAGATTTCCTGAAATTATATAAGATGTCTTGATTTGCCCTATGTTGTCTTAAGATTTCATAATATGTCTTAAATTGTCCTAAGAATTCCCAAGATACCCATATGTTGTTGTAAGTCCTTCTAAGTTGTTTTAAGATTTCCTAAGATGCCTAATTTGTCCTGAAATGTTCCAGGTTGTTCTAAAATGCCCATAATGTACTAAGATGTCACAAGTTGAACCAAGTTATCCTGATATCTCCTGAAATACTCCAAGATGTCCTAGAATGCTTTGATATGTCCCAAGTTGTCCTGATATCTGCTGAATTATCTGTTGTCCTAAGATGAATCAAGTTGTCCTGATGTTAATTAGGCGTTTTACATTCTCTTAAATTACCATAAGTTGTCCTACAGTGCTTACTAAGTTGCTCCAAAATGTTGGGGACAAACCTTTTCCTTCTCCATTTTCACATGAAATTCTATTACCATCGTTTTCCTTTTCCAGATCTGGGAAGAAGATGGCATGCCCAGCTCAGTCTGCCCCGCATGCTTGCACAAACTAGAAGGCTACTGGGAGCTCAGGAACTGCATAAAAGCCTCCGAAAACATCCTGCGAAGCAACATGCAGCCCCAAGTTCAAAGCACAGTCGACCAGTCAAAGTTTGCACAAGACTTCAACCAAGAAGCAGTCTCTTGTGTTGGTCTGACAGCCGAGCAGGGCAAAAAAATAGCAGAGAGCATCACAATCAAAATAGAACCAGATTGTTTTAAGTCTATGCTGATGAACGAGGACAAGACAACTGTGCGGACAACCATAGACTTCCAAGACTGTTTAGATAAATTGACAAGAGAGTCCGGTGTGTTAAACGAAGATGTTGAAGAGCTGGTGAATGCCAACAAAATATTAACCAATGTTATAGATATCGACGACCCCAAAGACCAACAACAGACTGATCAATGTGATAGATTAAAGTCGCTTAAGCGTCCTTTGAGTAATTTAGTGGTTTGTGATAAATGTGAAGCCGAATTTGAGACTTTAGAGTTGCTCGATATGCACTACAAATGCAAACACATGAAAATCAAGTGTAAGAGCTGCAAGAAGTCGTTTTCGCCCGATAAAATGAAGGTCCACAATGAGACCGTGCACACCGGTTCAAAGATGTTCAAATGCCAAATTTGTAATAGTTATATTTCTTTGAAGTATTACGATATGCACATGGCTGTACATTCTTGAGAAAAGGGCTTACAATTATCAACAACATCACTACAGTAAAAATTTAATTCAAAATTATTTTGTGTTAATAAAATGAATAAAATCTCATGTAGCAAATGAATTGATAACGCTGAGATAGTTTTAAGAAATTGACTTTAATTGTACTTTAATAAAAATTTAAATAAAGAGATTTCTTTCATAAATTCATTTGTTCATTTATTCACATTCTCAGTCATTTATTAAATAAGATTAACGTTTAAATGATGGGATTTCAGATAAAATGAAAAATGGGTTACATTAGAGTGGTACTTGAAATTGAATTGACTAGTGGTGTATGGCATCGTGCCTTAAGGCAAATTGCTGGAACTTCCCGAACCGTAATGAAATATTCGAGAAATTTCAAACGTTTTCAAATATATTATTACAAATACTGTAACTTTCATTATTTTTGCTATCTTGTTATATCTCAAATGCAAATCAAAGAACATTAATAATCGTCATTTCATTTGGAATTCAATTTAAAAAAAAAAATAGTTGCCTAATTTACACAAAATTGAAAATGTGCCATAGTCACAGTCTAAACGCATTTGCAAATAATTCTGTGCGACATTTTCACTTATACTGTGCTTGGCTTGGCGGCGTTTTCACTTTTTTTTTATAGTTTTCACAAAATTGGAAAAGTGCTACAATACATAGACAGTCTAAACGCACTTGGGTAACGCATTTGTACCAGAGTGGCGCTTAGACTGTGCTTAGCCTGGGTAATTTTTTGAATTTTTAATCCAAAATTACAAAAATATTTTTGGAAAAAAAAATTAGAAACCGTTTTTTTCTAAAAGCAATTATTTTGTTGAAACAAGCAGAAAGTTCTTTAAATCATTCAAATCGGACGCTTAGTTCTCTCAAAAACTGCAATTTTTTTAACATTTAGCTCTGTATCTCCCAAACCGCTGGGCCTACCTTTGCCAAAAACTAATAATCACTTTCCCCGTCATTACAAACTGAATGTTTTTTGGATCATACAAACCGGATGATCCGTTTTCTCAAAAACTCGATTTCCATTTTCTGCACTCTTTGCTCTATATCTCCGTAACGGCTGAACCTGCCTTAGCCAAAAACTTATCAGCACATCTCCCTATTAATAGGAATCGAATGTTTTTTAAATCATTCAAATCGGTTAATCCGTGCACCCGAAAACTTATACACATACAAAACACACACATCCATTTAGTTTATGAAGTATGCCAGTAAAATGTTCAGAAACCTTCAAAACGTCGAGAAATGTAAAAATTTTCAATTTCGATTTTCGGCCCATTACAATAACTTACCCTACGGGAAGTTAAAAATGTGTTAGGGTTGAACAACCTTTAATAATAATAAATTGAATTTTAAAGTGAAATTTGAATTTTTTCTTCAAGCTCAAAAATCTGAACTAAAATTATTTACAAAATATTCAATGACTGATGACTTGAAAAAATGATCGAGTTGCCAAAATGGCTATAAAAAAATAAGGGTTGGCGATAAAAAAGTAAAAATTTGGGTTATATGAATTTTTTAATGCCACATTATAAAAAAATAAAAACAAAAAAAAATCATCTAAAAATTACAAAAAAAGAATTGAGGGAAAACGACCCTTATCACTTAGGGGTGTAAAAAATAGATAGTTACCAATTCTCAGGCCTACTGACTGAATACGCATATATAATTTGATAAAAATCGGTAAAGCCGTTTCGGAGGAGTACGAGAACGAATTTTAAGACACGATATATTATTATATATAAGATATATATATATATATATATATATATATATATATATATATATATATCTTTCAATTAAAAACTGAAACATGCAAAGACTTAAGTTTATTAAACATACACTTCATATAAATATTTTTTATAAATTATGTACATCAAGCATAAAAACATGTCAGTCCAAAAAAAAAAAACAAAATACTCTCTCATACTAAACTATGGTATAAAAAATTTGTTCGCCCTTTGTATTATAAACCTATAAATGCATTAATAAATTTTGTTCCCTCCATAAATATATATATGTACAATTACGTAAACTCACAGTACGTGTTCATTAATAAATTAGTTATAAAAAAAGAACATTACCTCCCACAACTAAATTTTGTCCCTGTCTATTTTATTATTAATTAGTTTCCTTTAGCAGCCTTCGATTGAGCCCTCACAAACTCAGGGTAGTCGATGTAACCGTCTTTACTGGCATCGTCCATCGATAGAATTGGATCAATCAGTGACACCAGTTCATCGTCTGAGAAGATTTTTTCCTCGGCATGAGGAGCGTGGCCTCCTCCTTGGGTGTTGTGGGCCTCTTTGCTGCCTTGTTCTAAAAAATGATAATAGACAATGTAATGGTAATAGGTGGTTAGTTTATAGGTGGTGATACGATTAATATTCTTACCGTGCCAATGGATGAGGGATTTAATTAGTTCACAGCCATCGAGTTTGTTGTTGTTGTCTGCATCGTGCATTTTGAAATAGTGGAATTGTAGTTCTTGTTCGGACATTTTGCTTGTGTCGATTGGTAGTTCCAAATGTTCAGCTATATGTCTGAAAAGAAAAAGCAAGTTGGGTTAAATTCATTCTGAAGTAAAACTTCTTTATGCGCGACATGGGTGTAAATCCGTACAAATGCAACGGAAATCGTTACGCCAAGCTGAAGTGAGAGTCATTTGCTCTCAATGATATGATTTTTTGGGGACTTTATACGTGCGTACGTCACCGTATTTGAACTTCCATATAAAGACTTCAATTTGTTAGAAATGCACGAAAATTATTTCCAAAACTCTTTTTTTTAAGTGAAACTTCTAAGGACTTTTCAATAAGTGCACTATGGAAGAAATATGAAAACAACCATGCCAGAATGCTTGAAAATTTTCTAAAGAGTCTGAAAATGTTCCAGAGAGCTTGAAAAAGTTCTTGAGAGTCTGAAAATGTTGTAGAAGGCTTAAAATTTTTGTAGACAATATGAAAATGTTGAAGAAGAAAGCTTAAAGTCGGTATAGACAGCCTAAAAATATTGTAGAAAGTCTGAAAATGTTCTCAAGAGCCTGAAAATGTTGTACAGGACTTAAAAATGTTGTGCAAGGGTTAAAATGTTGTACAAGACCTAAAAATGTTCTAGAGAGCCTGAAAATGTTGAGAAAGATCTGAAAATGTTCTAGAAAATTTTAAAATATTACAGGAAGTTTAAAAATGTTCTAGAAAATTTTAAATTATTCCAGAGTGTCTGAAAATATTCTCAAGAGTCTGAAGATGTTGTAGAAGGCTTAAAAATTTTGTAGACAGTATGAAAATGTTGTAGAAGGTCTAAAAATGTTCTAAAAATCTTTAAATTTTTTCTAAAGAGTCTAAAAAATGTTCCAGATAATCTAAAAATGTTGTAAAAGGTCTAAAAATGTTCCAGAATATCTAACAATGTTGTAGAAGGTCTAAAAATATTGTACAGGGCTTAAAAATTGTTGTACAGGGCTTAACAATGTTGTACAGGGCTTAAGAATGTTGTACAAGACTTAACAATATTGTACAGGGCTTAAAAATGTTGTACAAGACTTAAAAATGTTATACAAGACTTAAAAATGTTGTACAGGGTTTAAAAATGTTGTACAGGGCTTAAAAATGTTGTACAGGGCTTAAAAATGTTATAAAGGTTTAAAAATATTGTACACGTAGAAGATCTAAAAATGTTCCAGGAAGTCTAAAAATGTTTCAGAAAGTCTAAAAATGTTTCAAAGAGTCTACAAATGTTTCAGAGGGTCCAAAAATGATTCAGAGGGTCTAAAAATAATTCAGAGGGTTTAAAAATGTTCCAGGAAGTCTAAAAAAGTTTCAGAAAGTCTGAGAAAGTTTTAGAAAGTATAAAAATGTTACAAAAAGTCTACAAATGATTCAGAGGGTCTAAAAATGATTCAGAGGGTCTAAAAATGATTCAGAGGGTCTAAAAATTTTCCAGGAAGTCTAAAAATGTTTTCAGAGGGTCTAAAAATGATTCAAAGGGTCTAAAAATTTTCCAGGAAGTTTAAAAATGTTTCAGAGAGTCTAAAAAATGATTCAGAGGGTCTAAAAATGATTCAGAGGGTCTAAAAAATGTTTCAGAGGGTCTAAAAATGTTTCAGGAAGTCTAAAAATGATTCAGAGGGTCTAAAAATGTTCCAGGAAGTCTAAAAATTTTCCAGAAAGTCTAAAAATGTTCCAGAAAGACCAAAAATGTTCCAGAACATCTGCAAATGTTATAGAAGGCCTAAAAATGTTCCAGAGAGTCTAAAAATATTTCTAGAAATGATTTTGAGTCAAAAAATGTTCCAGAAAGTCTAAAAATACTCCAGAAAGCCTAAAAATGTTCCAGAAAGACTAAAAATGTTCCAGAAAGTCTGCAGATGTTATAGAAGGCCTAAAAATGTTCCAGAGAGTCTAAAAATATTTCTAGAATGATTTTGAGTCAAAAAATGTTCTCAAAAAGTCTAAAAATGTTTCAGAGAGTCTAAAAATATTCTAAATCATCTAAAAAGTTGCAAATTGTCTCAAAATATTTTAATTTCCACTTACTCTTTTTCTTGTGCAATATTAGCGGCATTCAAAATCTGTTGCGACCTTTGAGGATGCCCTTGGTGATGTTGTTGCTGTTGATGTTGCATCGGCACTTGCTGAGGCTGAACAGGAACCTAAATCACAAAAACATAAAATTAATTATGTTTGTTACTACCTGTTGATGTTGCACGGGCACT